TTCAAGACTGTTTGGATTCATGGAAAAGTGCACAGGGCCATCCAGAAATCGTGCAGTCATTGATCCAGGAGGAGCTAGATGCAGGCTTCATCGCTCATGTCCCAGGTGGCGTGCCTCAGCTCAAACAGATGTATGCCAAGACGGCCATTGGCAAGCCGGGCGTGGTGATTGCTCCAGGTCGGTCTCCAAGACTTGCTGTGGATAGCTTCATCAGCATGGTGACTGCGAATACGGTTCTCCCCAATCATATGCTCTTGCCACGCATCTCCGATGTAATGCAATGTGCTCCCATGGGCATGTCAGCACAGCAGATGACTCAACTTACCCTGGATGCGTCGAAAGCCCATCGCAGGATTCTTGTCGCCCCCGAAGATGGAGGTCTGCTGTGTTTCCACGCCGGGCCTGCGCAAGCGGATGGTATTGGGGGCGCTTAGCGGGCATCATGGTGCGCTCTTGCCACTCCCTGCTGGCTCACGGACATGCCTTGTGGCAGTATGTGGATGACCTCCTTGCTTGGCTGGACAAGTCTTCATCCCCGCTTTGGGCATCCTTGATTGTGGTCCTCCTCCTCATACTGGGCGTACCTATGTCTTGGCACAAAGCAGCCCTTGCTGATACAGTCGATTGGATTGGTTGGAGGATATCAGTTTCCTCCTGGATTGTGGCAGCCCCCCCAGAGAAGCTGGCCAAGATTGTTGACCAGATTCGGTCAATTCAGGCTTCCTCCCGCCTGACATTGCAGGAACTGCAATCTCTGGTTGGGCGACTTTTGTGGCTGACATCGGCATCGCACTACTTGCGACCACTGCTTATACCACTGTATAAGGCACTGCATCGCATCCCCACTACCATGGTGGGTATGGATCATGTCACCTTCCAGACCTTGATTACCCACCTGGATGACCACTTGCAGCTGAGCACGTCACCCATTCACAAACATCAATCACTGCGCCCAGGCGTCACACTGTGTCGTGTGGCAAATTCTCATGTGAAAACTTTGCCAGAGGTCCAGTCCTTGCACATCAAATCTCGTCGGGTTTGGTTGGGCATTTTGGACCCCACATTACCTAACCGCAAACTAGATGATGAAGCATCGGAGACGGTACAGGTATGGCTACAACTTCTGGTCTCTACGCCATTTTCTCTGTCGATGTGTCCTCCGACATGGATCCAGGTTCAAGCTACAGCTACTGCTGATGCCATGGCCTCGACCTCCATGGGGGGTTCGGGCGGTGCAGCCATCTTTCCAGACGGTTCATCAGTCTGGTTCCAGCTTCGCATGTCGTTGGCCGAAGGACAGGCACTATGGCCATGGCTGGGTGATGATATGCAGAAACATATTGCAGCATGGGAGCTCCTTGCACAGTTTGCACTGTCTTTCTGCATTGAGGCTCATCTTCCTCGAGCCCGTGGACCTATTGTGTGCCAACAAGCCACGGATAATAGCGAAGCAGATGCGGCTTCCGCCAAAGGTCTCACCATGACCCCTGCCCTTGCTGCAGTGCTAACACCGTACTTCAAGCTCACGCGCAGATACCAGGTATTCCCACACATCACTCATATCCCTGGACGCCTGAACGTGCTTGCTGATGAGCTGAGTTGGTTCAAGGAACCTCTTTCTACACCATTGGACCCAGCGGCACGAATGACGTTCCCTTGGATGGACCTTCTGAAATCGTCTGGCATTGAGATTACCCAGATCGGTCGAAATTGGCCGTCACATTTTGACGTTCATCTGCGAGAAAAAAGGTTGCTGCAGTCCGCTGACTGGGTGCCTCCATCGATTAGTTTTTGGGGGGATCTCACTCCGGCTGGTCGATTGTCGATAGGTTTGGTGCTGTTGGAACTCCCCACCTCTTTTTATTGACCCCAACATACCCCGGTGATAGGGTTGTTGATCGGTGTCTGGCTGGGGGTTTGCGTTTGTAGGTCTAGCTGTACCCTTTTTGGACCCGCTGGTTCTTTGGATGTGTGCAGATCTGACCCAAACTCTGCACCACACCTAAAAAATAGTATGCGCCCGTGCGCCGGCCTTTGTCTTGTGTTGGATGTCAACTGTACTATAAGAATAGATTTGGGAAACTGAAGCAACGGAAACCATTGCGTGAACGTGTCATGTACTTGTACATATGTGTTCATGCATAGGACCCGGAAACTTCATGTGTGGTCCGTGGCCATTTTGCTTCAAGTTTCCCGTGTTCGTTTTCTTTCCCACCACCATCCCCATTCTCCACCACTCAGTGGCATTGGAGGTGGTGCTGTTGGAACTCCCCACCTCTTTTTATTGACCCCAACATACCCCGGTGATAGGGTTGTTGATCGGTGTCTGATTGGGGGTTTGTGTTTGTAGGTCTAGCTGTACCCTTTTTGGACCCGCTGGTTCTTTGGATGTGTACAGACCTGACCCAAAACTCTGCACCACGCCTAAAAAATAGTATGCGCCCGTGCGCCAGCCTTTGTCTTGTGTTGGATGTCAACTGTATTAGAATAGATTTGGGAAACTGAAGCAACGGAAACCATTGTGTGAACGTTGAATAGTTGAAACATTCAACATAAAATCCCATTTGCATTTTGTAGTTGTATAAATGTTGAGGAAGAGGTGAGAAGAGGTGGAAAAAAGGAAACAATGCGTGACATGTACATACTACAGAATGCCATCTAACAAACTGCACGGGGTCAACACTTGATCCAACTAAATTCAATCATTGACAACTACAAAATGTTTTTTGAAATTATGTTGGTCGGAACTTTGGATGGCATAGGCCCAACTACAAAATGTCATTGGGAAAAATCATGTTAGCAATTCCGATTTTCAGTTATTTTTTAACTTCAGATGCATTGGCTTTTGTAGTGCATATTTTGAATCATTTTCCGAGTCAGAAAAGGTTGTGTTCTGTATTTTGTAGCTGCAAACAAGGTACCATGCATCAAATTTTGTAGTTGCGCACCCAATGCTTTGCGTTTTGTACCTATCAAAATCCTCTGCACAACTTCTCCTCCCGTGTCTGAACCTGATAGTTTTGTCATGGCAATATATCACCGAGTGAACAGTTCTCTCCATGTTTCTTGGTGATGTTTCTGTCCTATTTTCACGCACTTGGATTTTTCAGTTTTCCACCTTGTAGTGTTCTGGAAAGATATCGATGCAATCTTCAAAATTTCTTTTGCACCGCGTCCTGATGGTTCACAATCCCCCTTTGATTTACTGTTGCATTAAACTAAGTTATCTAATGTTTATTTATGTTGATTTTAACTCGGGTTTGTGCTCCATCTGTTGTTCAGAAATTTGTTTTGTGTTGGATTCGACCTCGAAACATTTGAAACTGATTTGAAACATTGATATTCCGAACAGACAAGAACAATTGCTGAGAGGGGCATCCCATTTGTGCAAGGTGCCTTTGGCTCTGAGCTATCAACCGGCGGAAAACGCTTTGGCAAACAGGTGACAGATATGACCGAAAAAATATATGAAAGTCTTTGCAACATATCTATTACATATGTATTACATATGTATTACATATGTATTACATATGTATTACATATGTATTACATATGTACTGGTCATGGAGCTGTTTCTGTTTGCACTTGCATCGCATTGTGAAAAACAAAGCAAGGCACAAAACAAAACAAGGACTGAATCTTGACCTTCTCGACCTCACAGCGAGCTCGAGCTACACATGGCGAAGCGCAAGAGTTCGCCAGATGATTGGAAGAAGGTCGCTGCTTTTGCTTCGTTCGACATGCTCAGGCGGGTTTCTGTACCAGGCTATAAGAAAATGTATTTTTTTCCTAGCCACGGCAAGTTCTGGGAATTTTGAGTCTTGAGGATGGAACAAGCAAGGTTTGTGGACTGAACATGTTGACAACTCTTTGCAATCATGCAGGATGATGTATGTAATCACAAAAGGTAGCCTAGGCTACCTGAGTACGATGCACTTTATCGCAGGGTTTGCAACCAATCAGTGACTCTTGCCAGTTTAGTATCTGTTCTTCAATTTGGGGGGGCACCTTCCCCGTTGTCGATTCCGCCCTAGGTCAGCCAATTGTGTTTTTGGGTCGTAAACGCTCTTTCTGTCATGTTTCTTCTCCCATTCTGTCTTTACATTGTTTCAACAGTGCTTCGAACTCTTCTCACCCAATGCTTTGCTCCAGGATGAAAATCGACCATGCTTCTCCTTTTTTCCCTCGCTTCTTCAAAAAATGTTTTTGCAGAGCTGATGAAATTCATATTATATACTCCAGCCGGCCTTTGCAACATCTCTTTTTGAATGTATTTCTCTCAATACTCGTTTCGATACTCACATTGATGCAAGGCTTCTCTTTACTCTTTCTTGAAACAATTCTTCAAACATACTTTTTCATCATTTCTCAAATTGTGTCGCCAGTCACTTGCTACATTTCTTTCAACCTTTTCAGCATATTTTTCACCCATTTGCAAATTTGTCCTTGACAGCATCAGCTCGCAACATTTTGTCTCAGTGGCTGTTTTGGGGCAGTACGTCTAACTCCACCCAAAACTTCATTCAGCACAGGTGGTTTTTTTTCGATCGCTCAGAAACTTGAATGTTAATTGTGCCAGTTTTTTTGGCACTTGCTGCTACCCTGCCCATTGGGCCCGGCCAAACCCAAGTAGAAAGACAAAAGATGAGGACAGCCTGCGGTCCGAACTCTATCCACCTCGTGCGCAGCTTGCAGTCTTCCATTTCTTGTTGGCAGGATGCAACATTGGATGATGTGACTTCCACACTGGGTCGTGACCAATTCTTTGTTTATACACTGTATGGAGAAAACCATACATCACAAAAGGTTGGTCAGACTTCGTGGTTTTTCAAGTTTCCGGTTTAGTTGAAACTACACGTGTCCACACCAATCCAGGATTCAGAGTTTGTGCATTTCAAACTTTTGATGCAATACCTGGCTTTGGTCCACCATATTAATATGGGAATTCACACATTGTCAAGTCCAGAGTGAAAAAACTACAGCACTGCAAACCATATGCGAGGCTCTTCACAATGCTGCTTGATCTGAACATCACAGCTGTCAGCCGAGTTTTTGGTTTAATTCATTTTGAGAACGTGGACTTGGGGACGGCAACTACTAGTAGACACTAGACTCACTAGACTAGACGCACCAGATTTTGACGCTTTCATTGTTTATCTGAACCTTGCGTCAGACCTGAGATCAGAGAAATCTCTTGGAGTCGCAAACCGAAAAAACATGTACAGGCCTTTTGTTATTTTTGTATCCTTTTGTTCATGTGAGGTCTGCGATGACAACCTGTGGACACCAGACAATCCGTTGCTTTCCTTTGGAATCTGGTCTCACCCATGAGCTGTCAAATGGGACGAACCAATTCAGCCCAATCCAGCCCAAATCAGCCAAACGGAGTCAATGAAACTACTGAAACAGTGGAGCATAGTATGGCATGGAGCGCCGTTGGCATGATCTTGATGTGATTGATGACCAGGTTTCACAGTGGCATTGGCCATGCGTTTGGTCAGATTCTCAACCTGTGAACTGACACCTGAGGCTAACCCCAGAGGGTGAACAACAGTGTCAGAAGGCTTCCTGTGCACATCAAAGTTTGTGTCATGTCGAAGCATGTTGAAAATGCCAGCCCAAGTCTGAACTGCTTCCAATTATACATGTTGGTTCAGTTTCTTCCTAACCACGTCAGGTTTGTTTTTTTGCTTTAGCTGCTGCTGAGATCAGTGTAGGCACATGAAGAGTGGGGAGGCAAAATTTTCGATAGCGCAGACTTGGTCATCGTGTCGCCCATGACGCGAGCCTTACAGACGGCTTATCTCATTGGAGGCGCACAAGTTCTGTCAATTTAGTCAATGGAGTTTTTGTTCTTTTTAAGGATTTTTTTTGTTTTTCAGCTTGGGGCAGCTTTCCTTGCTATTTGCTGCATTTTGGAGCTAAAATCTGTGTTTTGCATGCATTTTGGAGCTAGAATCTCGCATTTGCGTGGCTTTTGGCTTTTGGCTTTTGGCTTCTGGCTTCTGGCTTCTGGCTTCTGGCTTCTGGCTTCTGGCTTCTGGCTTCTGGCTTCTGGCTTTTGGCTTTTGGCTTTTGGCTTTTGGCCTTTGGCCTTTGGCTTTTGGCTTTTGGCTTTTGGCTTTTGGCTTTTGGCTTTTGGCTTTCATCACGCGGCTTCTGGCTTTCATCACGCGGCTTCTGGCTTTCATCATGCGGCTTCATCACGCGGCTTCTTCACGCGGCTTCATCACGCGGCTTCACGCGGCTTCATCACGCGGCTTCACGCGGCTTCACGCGGCTTCACGCGGCTTCACTTGGCTTTTGGTTTCACTTGGCTTTGGTTTTGGCCGTTCACTTCACTTGGCTCTTGGCGTTTGTTAGGTTTTAGTAGTGTAGTTTGCATATAACATTTCATGTATTGCATATATATATATTTCATGTAAACTCAAACTGCACAAAAACTACAGACGTAAAGTATAGGAGCTTGTATGCATGCTGTTGTAAGAAAATACCGAAACCATCAATTAGACAAACCTAAAGAAACCCTAAACGACACCCTAAAGAAACCTTAAAAGAAACTCTAAACGACACCCAAAAGAAACCCTAAAAGAAACCTTAAAGAAACCTAAAAGAAACCCTGAAAGAAAACCGAAATAAAACCCTAAAGGAACCCGAAATGAAGCCCTAAAGAAACCTTAAAAGAAACCCTAAAGAAACCATAAATGAAACCTTAGACACCGTAAAGAAACCCTAAAAGAAACCCTAAAAGAAACCTAAAGAAGCCTTGAATGAAACGCTAAAGAAACCCTAAATGAAGCCCTAAATGAAACCCTAAAGAAACCCTAAATGAAACCCTACAAAAACCCTAAGCGACATCCGAATTGAAACCCTAAAAGAAAACCGAAACGAAACCCTAAAGAGACCCTATATGAAACCCTAAAGAGACCCTAAATGACATCCCAAAGAAGCCAAAAACGACACCCTAAAGAAACCCTAAATGAAACCCTAAAGACCTAAATGAACCCTAAATGACATCCTAAAGAAGCCCAAAACGTAACCCTAAAGAAACCCTAAATGAAACCTTAAAAGAAACCCTAAAGAAACTCTAAACGACACCCTAAAGAACCCTCAGTGAAACCCTAAAGAAACATTAAATGAAACCCAAAACCCTCAAGAACCCTAGAAGAAACCCGAAAGAATCTTTGAAACCACGGAAAGATCATTGAAGACGATCAAGAAAGCGATGAAAACCATCCAGACATTTGAAAACCATGGGAAAATGGGTGAAAATTAACATGTTGCAATTATCGTGCAAATTTACGATTTTCGTTACCCAAATTTGCGACTTCAGTTCCGAAATGCTGCACATAGCATGCAAAATGAGAGATTTTAGTTCAAAAACGCAGCAAATAGCACGCAAATCAGAGAGATTTTAGCTCCAAAATGTAGCAAATAGTACAAAATGCAGCTTTGGGGGTTAAAAGTGGTCACCTGCAGCACCCCATAGGCTGCAGCACGGATTTTTCTTGAGCCATCAGAAGTAGCGGAGCGTTTAGCCATGTACATGTCATCCTGAGTGCAGGGGCCATGCTTGTAAAAACGAAGCTCACCCTTCTACACCTTGGACCTTGGCATACCAGCAACTGTACATCCTAGAGGTTAGAGTGTTCCATGAATCACACTCCCCCTACCTCATTTTGAGGTACAGCTACCTAAAACAAACAACCTTTGGCGCAGCAGCACTAGGAAAAAGCTGCAAAAGCGCTCACCAGGTCTCCCCAGAGACCTCACTCCAGCTGCCGTCATCGCTCAGTTCCTCTTCGGCAGGAGGTAGGCCATCTCGACGCTGAAGGTCAGCCAAAACCGGTTGAGCTCGTCGACCAGCTGAAGTCTGTGCTTTTGGCCTCACCGCAGGTGCTCTTGGTGTTGGGAGCGGACCGTAGGACTTCGCCGTAGCCGCCCGGCTCACATCAACACGGTTCTCTTCCCCACCAAGTAGGTCAGGAAGAAGCCCAAGATGCCCCTCGGCTCCATCAGGCAACCTCAAAACTGCAGGCTGAAGCTCACCACGATCATGCGGTCCTCCAGCTCCGTCACGTTCAGGCAGGTGAAAACGATGCCCTTCTCCACGAGCATCATCACCAGAGCTCCGAGACCCAGTGCGATCATGCACGGTCCCAGTTTCATTCTTGAGGCGGAAGAAGGTCCACCCAGTCCACCTTGAAGTAGCGGGGTTCGCCGGCTCCACATCCCAGCGGTCCGTCTTGACAAAGCGGCGGTTGGTGTCCTCCTCGAAGCCCACAGTCACACGTAGAGGAAGAAGATCTCCACCTGCAACCGGAGAGGCACGGTGGATGGGCTGGAAAGTGCGTTTCCTTGGATCCCTGTGGACTCTAACAAGCCATCCACGTTGGATCCAGGAACTTTCCCATCTGTCCTTCTTCCCAGTCGGCGGAGGCGTCGAGAACTCAGGTAGTTCCCACGGTGCCATGGCCGCATCCACAGTGACTCGCATAGCCTTCATGCTGTAGGACCCACCATCAGGCGGAGGACGCTTGGTTCCCGAGCCATCATCCAGGTCCTTTCTCGCATGGATGTCATAGTCCTCATTTTCTTCCTCATCAGGTGGATGGTCTTCAGCTGGAGGCTCGCCTTCCGGTTCTCCAGCTCCATGCAAACCCTGAGAAGTCCATTTTCCCCAGGAATCATCATCGTCATCCTCAGCGGCGCCCGGAGTCTTCCCCCGGCCTTTTCCTTTTCCCAAAGACTGCCGGCGATCTCCACTAGGAACTGGTCGGTCGGTTGAAGATCCAAGGCCATCGCCACTGGCAGTTGAAGAACCCACGCTGCCTCGACTCGGTGGTAGCAGAGGTTCGGGAACGGGTTTTCCTTTTCCTTTGGGACCAGTTGGGTCGCTGTTCGCTTCTTCAGTCTCTTCACCAGAGCTGATGACCTCTGGCCCGTTCTTTCCTTTCCCTTTTCCTTCTGGCTCAGCAAGGGGACGGATCTCGATCAGACCGTCACCTCTGCGAATTTCCAGGTCACCATCCGCATTCACGAAGGATACCACGATCTTTTCGCCTCCCCAAAAGAAGCCTGACTCAATGTCGCGGCGACCATGACCACGGACAGTGTAAGTGGTTCCATCTGGGTTCTCAGGCCCCTGAGAAGAGGCTGGCTGACTGCCCGTCGCAGTCGGAACCTCTTCGCCAGTAGGTTCGTTGTCTTGAGGAGGTAGAGGAGCTGGTAGCGGAGCAGCACTCGTCGCTGTCTTCGGAGTAGCCTGCATCAACGTCACAGGCCCTGGCTCCCCTGCGACTGTTTCCTCGGACTCCTCAAGCTTTCTGTTTTCCCAGCTCGGCCACTCATCTTCCTTCTCTTCTTCATCACAGGCCTCTGCACTTGGGCCCTTCTCTTCACCTTGATCAGCCTTCGCGGCCTTGTTTTTCTTCTTTCTCTTCCTTTTCTTTTTCTCCCCGGTGTAGATGTCATCGTACATGGAGCTCTTCGGCCACGGCTTACGATCATCTCCACCATCACCAGGACCATCTCCACCCTCGCCACCAGCATCAGCAACGCTGGTCGCCATGGCTTCAGCACGGAGCGCCCGGACGCTGGGGCAGCCCGAAGGGCAGTAGTTCCTGAACCCGGCAACAGTCACACCGGAGTTGAAAACCTGTGCACCTTCGCCACTGAAGTCGTTTTCACAAGTGCCGTCAACCACGTTATCCCCAAAAATCGATTTCCCAAAATCAAATTCCCCAAAAGAGGTGGGACTTTGTGGTTTCAGGGTTTTCTTTATGCTGGGTTCATTTTCCCTCAGCAATTGGTGGTTTGGACCGGGTTCATTTTCCCTCGGCCATCCTGTTTCAGTAAGTTGGGTTCCTATGCCGGGTTCATTTTCCCTCGGCGTTCTTGACTTTCTTTTGAGACAACAAAGGTGAGACTTCCATCTTTGTACAACATGGCACACACCAGCTGCTACTGCACAGATCCCTAACCTCCTAATCCGGTGGTGCTCCTCAGTGGTCGGTTTCCACCTTTCAAGCTCTACAGCTACAGTCAGCCCCTTCAGAGCCCATTCTCTACAGATTCCAATCTTCTTCAAGGTCTCCAGGTCCTCCGGCTCAGCCATGTCGTAGAGCCCTGCAAACCTCCGGAATCTTGACCAAGTAGCCCCAACGGTGATTGGCTTCGTCAGGAAATCTGCCGCAAGTTCCACACCCGCCATGTGTTTCACCTTCCACACCTCCTGTTGTACCGCTTCGTGCAACGCCCTAGAGCGCAGCCTGAGATGTCTCGATCTCCACGGTCCATTTGGGTTAAGTACGACCTGGATTCCCGATTGAGAATCACCGTACAACACTCTGGTTCCCTTTTCTGTTAACCTTCCTTCCTCAAAAAGGTCAACCAAGACCGCCACCGAGTCTCCAAGGCTCATAGCGTCCACGTACGAAGTGACTTCAGACTCAGAGCTGCTCAGCGTAGCAAAGCTCTGTCGCTTACTTTCCCACTGGATCAAACCACCTGCCCAGACAGCAAGGAGACCCTGGTGGGACCTCTCCCCTCCTGGACCGAATGACGCATCCGAGTGGACTTCCAACGTATTGGCATCCCTGCAGAATGCCAAATTCCCATTCGGCCCACGGTCGGCCCACGGTCGGCCTCTTGACACTTTTGGTATAGCAGACCATGACCCACTGTGGCCTTTAAGTAGCCAAGCGTTTGCCTACCAAGTTGGCAAACCCTCTTCGGACATTTTGATGCTCGGGAACCCATCCAACTCACTGCATATGCCACGTCCGGCCGCGTCTTTGTGCTTACCCACAAAAGTTCGCCGACCAGAGTCTGCGCCCTTTTGACATCTGCAGGCTCCGTGGTGATTCCTCAACATCCTCAGTCCTTGCAATTGGTACCACCAGCGCCTCTGGTACATCTGGGTATCGATCCAACAGATCCTTGGTGTAGGATTCTTGGGAAAGGAGGATGCCGCCCCTTGGGTGCAGCTTCAACTCCATCCCACAGAATCTCAACATTCCCTTTTCTGAGAGGTACTCCGCTTCGGAGCAGTTCCACTCCTGGTTTATTCGGTTCAGACATCCCTTGATTACTTCGGTTGGTCCACAGACCAGGACATCATCGACATAGAAGGTACAAAAACCTTCTACCCGTTCATCCGAGTCCGCTCTTCCTGGCTCCTCGCTCGACACGAGTTGCCAGACATTTGGTTCGACCGGTTGACGCATCCAGAACGACCTACCGTTTGAGCTCCACTCAAATTTCTTGACCCTTTGGTCGCGGAAGCTACTCCAGTCGGCCGGACTGGTCTCCAGGCCGTACATCGCCTTTTGGATCACCCACCGCTCATCCGGCGGACAGATCCCAGCCTGCACCAGCAGCTTCGGTGGGATGGTCATCATCAGGCACTCCTGCTCCCTTCGGCGTGGGGCAAGCAAGAACGCGCCCTTGATATCTAGGACTCCCATGTCCCACCCATCCATCATGGCGGTCTTTCTGACCATGCATCGAATGGCGGTGGCATCAGCTCCTCCAGCGTACAAGTCCGCTGCCGTCACTGGAGTCGCCTGAGTCTTGTTGCCATCCTCGTGAGCCTTCGTCACCAGGTTTCCACAGATCACAATCCGTGCCTTGCGTTTCCCATTTGGCGATTTAACTGTGGCAACCAACTTGCTTGGTGCTAGCTCCATGTCTTGATAGCCTTCCATGGCCTCCAACTCACTAAGCTTAACCGGTTTCACCGCCTGGCTTTCATACACAAGCTGGTTGTACTCGGCCTTAATTGGTTCAATCCAGGATTCCATATCCCGCTTTACCATCGTCAAGGGGATTGTGTAGGTTTGCAAGACCGTCGGGGGCCTGCTCACACCTTGGTTCTCATCCCCTGGTTGGCCATCCGTCGACAAAGCTGCGATTCGGGCATGTCTCTCACACTCTTCAGCTTCCAATGCCTCCACCTTGGCATCTTCTTCTTCGATCCGGGAATAATGCTCCAATTCACTTTCCAGCCATCTCACTTGGGTACTCACGTGTTGCACGACTTGTCCTTGCGCCGCACCTTCTTCTTCTGTCCCAGCGACTGCATTCACCTGTTCCTGCAGAAGTTTTCTCAGATTCCAGTGCTGGTAGCGGAGCTCATTCACATACTCCTCTACTTCCGTCTTTTCGATCTCCCCCCAACCTTCAAGTTGAGTTCCATCCACAAGAGACTCCCCCCCAGCTCGTAAGGCCATGAGAGCTGGCAATCCCAATTCTGCCTCAGGTGGAACCAACTCAGAGTCAGACAAGATAGAGGGCTCATACCCATCTTCTTCCTCAGCGTCGGCCACAGCCAACAAGGACTCAAGTTCACGGTCCTCCCGAGGAGGTGGTAAAGGGATCTTGGAAACCTCCACAACCAGTGGCTGCTTCCCGTTGAGACGTCTTTTGGGAGGATCCTTGGGATCATCGACCGTTTCCAGCTCCAAACGAGCTGTTTCTCCAAGAGGATCAGGAATGAACACGGACCGTGCGTGCTGCACAAGGTTGGCTTCTTCATCAAGAGCAACCCAACCGTTAGTCATCTGAGGTGAAGGGCCCATAATTCGAAGCGTCTTGTAAGGGGATGACAACGCCCCTTCTTTTCGACGATGCCACAGTTTGGCCTTAACCTGAGCCAACACAGCAAAGGGTGGCATCTCCTTACACTTGGCCAAGATAGAGGGCTCATACCCATCTTCTTCCTCAGCGTCGGCCACAGCCAACAAGGACTCAAGTTCACGGTCCTCCCGAGGAGGTGGTAAAGGGATCTTGGAAACCTCCACAACCAGTGGCTGCTTCCCGTTGAGACGTCTTTTAGGAGGATCCTTGGGATCATCGACCGTTTCCAGCTCCAAACGAGCTGTTTCTCCAAGAGGATCAGGAATGAACACGGACCGTGCGTGCTGCACAAGGTTGGCTTCTTCATCAAGAGCAACCCAACCGTTAGTCATATGAGGTGAAGGGCCCATAATTCGAAGCGTCTTGTAAGGGGATGACAACGCCCCTTCTTTTCGACGATGCCACAGTTTGGCCTTAACCTGAGCCAACACAGCAAAGGGTGGCATCTCCTTACACTTGGCCCCCAACTTTCTCATTTGGGCACGCAATCGTTCCTCGACTCCGTGTCGGGCCGTGCATGGCCAGTAGTCATGACTCACTCCCGTTTCTGCCAACAAAAGGCGAAGTCGACGCTTGAATTGGTTGATTTCCCCTTCAATTCGTCCATTGGCTTCAGGCTCATCGCCTGCATTGAAAGTTTGATGGACCTGGCGCATTTCGCACCACTTGGCCACGTGATTGGTTGTGAAAGATCGCTCCCGATCAGAGTGCACACGGTAAATGGGTATGCCAAGGCTCCTCGCCCGGGCATGCACTTTGGACAGTGCCTTTGTAATTTGGCTGGTGACGAGACGCAAGTGGCTCCATGAAGGTGATGTTCACCAGTGGAACATCCTTGGATATCTCCTTGACTTCCTTTTTGACGAACTCTTCCCAAGCCTGGTTTCTCTTCCGGGCTTCTTCCTCTGGGATCAGATCCCTGGGCTCTGGAGCCAAAAGAAGCTCCCCGGAGGCTTCCACTTCCTCAGCTTCGGGAACAACTTCTTCCTTTTGAGGTTCCACCGCCTCCGTGGAATCCTCCTTCTCCCCCGGACTTGGCCACTGAGGCACAGGGATAGTCGCCAGCAAGGCATACTTTACCTTTCTGCGTTTGGAGACACCAAGGTCGGTGCCCTTTTTGAACGGACCACAGATGTCTACAGACATCACAAAGGCGGATTCTTGACCCCTCTTTCGGCGATGTGGCTCAGCCGAGCCCATGGTTTCCAAGCAGACCTTACAGTCCCGCCGGTATGGCACGTGTTGTGCCTGCAGATGCTTCTTCCATCCCGCTAAGTCCAACTTGCTCAGCATCGGTTGCTGAGCCTGGCTCGCCAGAAATTTGGGTATCACAATCTTGAGAGCAGCCATCAGACCTGGAGCCCATGCAGACCAAGAAGCCGTCTGCTTCAGCCGCTCCCGGAGATCCATGCACACACTCTCTCCAGATTCCTTCGAGGTAATCCCATCAAGTTCCCTCAGCTGGACTATGTTGGTCAGAAGCGTTGTGGGTTTGGGGCGTGGGTGCCCTAGAGCCCCTTGATCCACCCTGACCTTGAACATGTCTGGGTTTCGTTTCAAGAAATCTTCTGTTTCCTCCCATTCCCAGAAGGACGGATACTCTTTCCCATCTTCCACATACTCGCATGGATCTTGGGGACTTTCCACCAGAAGACCACACTGACCCAGAATGCCATTCGCCACCATTCCCTCTTGAGATTTCTCATAGAGACCAAGAGTTTTCAACCACAGGGCGGTATCTCCATCCACCTTTGTCATTTCTCTTTCCGTTAGCTCATCCAAAGCGAATCTGTGATCCTTTCTGCCACGCAAAGGGCGAGGACCTGGGATCTTATGCCTAAGACGACTCACTGTCCTGCATGGCGGTCCGGCGGTTATCATCCGGATCCGGCCCCTTTCAGCCAATCCCCACAGATACGCCCACACCCCAGCGGTGTGTAGATCTTCTTGAGCGTTCGATGAGATGTCAACGGTCAGCACCTCGGTGTCTGATCCCGTGAGATCCCGCCATCTCCTGGATTCTCCCCCGGACCCAGAGAAAAGATGGATCACCACACCACCTCGAGCTCTTTCCAACCTCCTCCGCTTTGCCCTATTCCAAGGCAAAGGGGAGGCAATTTCTTCCCAGTTCAGCCCTTGGCCCCTCATCAAAGACCAGATTCTCTCAGGGACCTGTGGATACTTCTCCTTCCACCATTCGATCTCCTGAGCCGGTGGCTCACAGTAGTCTCCCACTCCACCATTCTCAAGTGACTCCAAGAGACTCAAGGCTTCACTTCTGTCCATCACTGGACACCCTTGGCGTCTGACACACTGCAGGTTCCCATGTTTCGGGTGTGAGATGTCACAGCGATCCTTCTGCCAGTCGATCTTGAATCCGTGATCTACTAGCAGCCGCAATGGAATTATGGGTTCCACGTTATCCAGTGCCAACAGCGTATTGTGCGCTGCGCACCGATAGAGCGTGACACTTCCCATCGCCATTTCAACTTGGACTGGCCAAAGATGCGGAACTTCGGAGCTCTTCGCCTGTCGCAAAGCGTGAGTCGCCCCCCCATCTAGCAAGGCGTACTCTCCTCCGCACTCCTCGTCCATTTTCACCGTCTTGATGAATACGTCCAGCTGTTGGCGCATGGTCGCCAAGCGGAACGCCACCTGACTTCCACCCAATCTTGAAGCTCCGTCAGCGAACTTCGACAACACACCTGTCAGAACCAGAGGATCCACTGTTACACTCAGCTCCTCCGACCTTCCCACTGATCGGCGCCATTGCCGAACGGACCCCAGCAGTTCCACCAAACCTGCTGGCACCTTGGCCTCGCTGATGGACTTGATCAATCCTGTCCTTTCACCCGAACCACCAGGTTGAAAGGTGGTAAACAATCGGAACAGAATCCCGACCGTCGAGAGACGCCGCGATGCTATGACGTCCTGTCGCAAACCTTCTGGCAAAGCAGCTAGCAACATGGATACTGACCGCTGTTCCAGTCTTGCGTAGCCTTCACCGATCACTGGTGATCCTGGTTTCATGCGCAGCTTCTCCAGCGGCGTGGCAACCAGCCACTGCTGATAGTGGTGTTCCACAGTTTTCACTGTCAGACTCCACCATCCTCCAGCACTTC